TAAAGCGATTTGGTAGTTATGTTGTGCGGTAGAGTTATGACTCATGTTGTCAGGGTTGGACACTTTTTGTTGTCAAGGTTGGACACCCTTGGTTTTTCCCCTTTTGTCAGGATATTTAAATTTTTCCAATGTTTTTTACAGTTATTCACTACAAAACATGTAAATATCGGGTGTTTTTTTAGAGGTATAGAACTTTAAGTTGCAATAAAACCACGATGGATTATTCGATTGACATGAATTTTTTTTTATTCGAAAGATAATCTTGTGGCAATTCATTTTATATATGATTTTTGGCATATGACCGCCACGGCTGCCTCAGATGTAGTCCAATCTGGACGTCCAATTTTCGATGACTTTTCCCAACATTTGCGGCCGTATATCGGCAATAACACGGCGAATGTTGTCTTCCAAATGGTCAAGCGTTTGTGGCTTATCCGCATAGACCAATGACTTTACATAGCCCCACAGAAAGTAGTCTAGCGGTGTTAAATCACAAGATCTTGGAGGCCAATTCACAGGTCCAAAACGTGAAAGTAGGCGGTCACCAAACGTGTCTTTCAATAAATCGATCGACATCCGAGCCAGCCGTGGCTTTCATATGCCAGAAATTATATATAAAATGAATTGCCACAAGATTATCTTTCGAATAAAAAAAAATTCATGTCAATCGAATAATCCATCGTGGTTTTATTGCAACTTAAAGTTCTATACCTCTAAAAAAAAACACCCAATACAATCAATGAAATAATTTTTTTTCTATATTGTGAACAAATATACCTACATATTAATTAAAGAAATAGATTAAAGTTCTAAAAATAAAGTATGAGTTGGATGAATAAATAAATTTGGTAACTAATTACTTGATTCAACAAAAAGTGAATTAATTAGTAAATAAGTAAAAAAAAATAAATCCTTTGAGTAATAATTTATTATTACTTGCATAATGCTGTCCTGTTTGTCCTAATTGCGAATCTGATTAATTTTTTTTTTCATACTTGGTTTTAAAATTTGTTGTTCATAATGAAAAAGAGTCGAAAGACATAAAATACACCTGATCCATGGATAATGTCCTCTTTTATTGCTACTTTTCTGAAGTAGCAATTCAAGTGTCCAACCATGACTACAGTGTCCAAGCCTGACATTTTTTTTTTTTTTAATTACTCGCCATTTCTATGTTTTTCATTTCACAACATAATGTTCATTGTCAGACATACCAATTGCCTTTACCTTTCAAACTATTTACGCAAATGATCTTAATTCTTATTAAAACGATAATTATGGGCAAGGGTCGAAAATGTGTCCAACCCTGACGACATTCCCCTATATGTTTAACGCGTTATCTGTATTTTTTATATAGTTTAAGATATCGGATTGATTTGAAAAAAGGTTAATTAGGTCTAACGGAAAGTCATTGTTTAGTTCGTCAATTGTTTCGACGGTTTGCATTGCATTGTCGAGTTCGCCCACCAAATATACTTACAAGCTTCATTCAGCTGGATTAGATCCCTTCTATTTACTTTGGGACAATCTAACAAATTATTATCAGTGCATATCCTACTTAGTCCGTCCACTAGAGCATTTTCTTTTCCTTTAATGAAGGCCATATCGAAATTATATTCGTTTAGTTGAATTTTCCATCTCTGTAGCTTTAAATTGGGTTCTTTTAAGTTGTTTAGCCATACTAGTGGGCGGTGGTCGGTTTTTATTAAAAACTTTCTCCCGTATAAATAATAATGAAAATGTTTGACGCCTTAGAAAATAGCTAGAAGTTCCTTTTCAATCGTGCTATAGTTCAGTTCATGGGTTTTTAAGGTACGGCTGGCATAACATATTACTTTTGTCTCCTGCATTAGAACCGCTCCCAAAGCATGGTTGCTAGTAAACTGTTTTTAAAGTCAGGGTAGGCTACAATTGGTTCGCTGTTAATTAAGACTTTTAGCTTTTCGAAAGATTCTATAAATTCTAAATCATTATACCCTTGCAGAGCAAAAGGGTATTATAATTTCAGTCCGAAGTTTGCAACGCAGTGAAGGAGACACCTCAGACCCCATAAAGTATATATATTCTTGATCATTTCATTGACCCTTACTATGCGCGCGCGAAGCGAATTGACGCTCGTTAGAGTCGTTGGTCGGCGCACGCCCTGAGACCGAGCGCGCGGACCGTGCATGATGATCTTGAATATTCTATAACTCAAAAACTAATTTTGATACCATTCTGAAATTTTAGTATGTTAATCAGAAGAATTTGAAGGATTTATTGTGATAAAAAAAATCAAAATTGTCCAAGTTGGAGAAAAATTAATTTGTTATAAACATTTGAACTTTTTGTGGTGAAAAATTGTTTAAAAAAATTATTTCACGAAAGTTTTGCAAAGAAGAAGGAAGGATGAAATTTTTACTTCCTATAGATTTTTTTTTCTGCGACGTACGGTTATCGAGTTATTGGGGCTGGAAAACGCGACTATCATCAATAAAAAGGCAGTTTATTAAAAATTCAAAAAATCATAACTTCGTCAAAAAACTTTTCTGAGCCATATAAAAAAATACGTGTCGATTTATTTTCGATAAAGAGCATGAAAAAAATATCTCATCGAATTTCCCAATATCGACTGTAAATCTGATATGGAATCACCCATATATACTTTATGGGGTCTGAGGTGTCCCCTTCACTGCGTTGCAAACTTCTGACTGAAACTATTGTATAATACCCCTTGCGCTGCAAGCATTTGGCTCGACAGATAGCCAAAGCTTATAGTATATGCTTTAGCTTTTATTTTTAAGCCATTCCTTTCAAGCCCCAAAAAATTTTTTGTAAATATGTTAAATCTTCATAAGCCTTACATTCATATAAAATTACTTTCTCTTATTTAGTGTGCGGGACGTTTGAACTGGAATCTACTTTTTCAATTTCAACAATCTAGCTTTTTTATAGTTTCGTTTTTTTTTTTTTCAAAAGAACCCCTGGTTGTGCAATTCTGTGGATGAATTTTTCTTAAGACGACACCAAAAATACAACTTTACTAATTTTAAGTTATAGTCGAGATACAATGCAACGCAAATTGACTAAAACGAACTTGCCAAATTTCATCATGCCTTAGAAATTGATTGTTCAAGTTAATACAATGTAAATGTAAACAACGTTTAGTCTTATGTTAAATTTAAGTTAATTGAAAATGTGTAAAGATATAACGTTGGTCAACTAAGACCATTCAACTTATCAAGAAAGGGCAGGACCGGTTTTTAAGATTTCTTGAACACATTTATAAGTTTGGCACGTGGAGAGCTTGTTAATAGAAATATGCATACATACTTTTATTACTTGTACATCATTTATGAAATAACATTTTAAGTTAATTATTTAATTAGGTAAAAATTTTTTTTTTAAAGGGGCCCGATTAGAAACCTCTTGAAAATGTATTTATTAGTTCGATTAAACAATAAACAAAACTTAACCTTAGACCTTTCTGTGTTTGTATTTATATCAGAAGTTTTTGTCTCAAAGTCAAAAAATAAAGAAAAGATTGAAAAATCGATATAAATTCAAAAACACAACAATAATTTGTTTGTCATGCAAACAAAAAACAGTTTTTTTTCCAATTAAAAACTAATTTATGAATTTTAACCATAACGTGCTTCACGATTTGTTATTATTGGAAGAGAAAATCATAGAGCTGCCAGAGGAAAGCTCGGAGAAATTCAAGAAAATGAATAGCAAAATCGGAAAGACTTCGATGTTCTTGAGTTTTAGTTAATTAATATTTCGCTCGAAATGAAGCAGCTTTTTACCCTTTCAGAGCTTGTTATACTTTTTGTCAGATGGTTGCAACGCAGTGAAGAAGACACACCCGCCCATATATACCATATACCCGTATACTTGATCAGCATCTCCATTTGAGTTAATATAGTCATGAGCCTCCGTCTGTTGTTTTTATGAAAACTTGTCACTTACTTTTAAAGCTATCTTGCTGAAATTTTACCAAATAGCTTTGAAACTGAGAGACTAGTTTGTAAAGAAACAGAAAGTCGAACAGGCGTACGTAATGGCTCGATCGACTCAGTTGGCGCTGCTGATCAAGAAAATAAAACTATACCAAATTTTTAATACTTTAAAAATTTTGCTCGCCGAAGCTAGCCTTATTTTCTTGCTTGTATAGATAGTTTCAATGAAAGGTTCTACTTTCTTTCTAATAGTTTCGTTTAAACCCAAAGCACGTGTATAAGGTAACTTAAATCGATAAAAATTTTTAACTTAAACTAATTTGGCGACGATTAACCAATTTATATTTTGTGATTGAGCTGTATAGGGTTATTTTATTTAATTTGGATAAGTTAAAAAATATAAGAATTTAAATATCTTACCAAGGACTTTGTGATAATTCAAACTTATAATATTTACCGATTAACTTTAAAAAATGAATTCCGGAAGTTAGGGTGGAACGAAAACGACAACCGGAGCGACATGAGAGCAAGGTTGTCTGATCTTCTAATATGCGAAATAGAATAAATGATGCATTGGTGGTGATTAAATGCAAAGCAAATCTTTTAAAATGAAAATTCAAAATCTGTATAAAGCCTACTTTTTAAGTAGCAAATTTTAAAGTAGGAGTAATTATTTACATATTAGTAGATATAGCTTATAAAACATTTAAGAATCTGTGTAAAAACTTCAACTTGCCGAAGCTAGCTACAGCTTGTTAAGAAGAATGTTGGCTTAATTCAAGAAAAATTAGGTTGATTTTAAACTCAAAATACTGAAAGACTCGTAGCTTGTTATATTTTTCAAATTAAGAATTATGAATCGTCCCGCATTTGCTTACTTATCACTTGTCACTTAATGACACCGGTGGCCTTCTCCAGGGGCACCTGAAAAATGTATGCTAACCACTCGAAATCAAGCTTCGGAACTCGACGTACAAAGCTGGCGATCGGCTATCATCAAATGACAACAACAATGGCTGAGACATCTTTTAACCAGAGGTATAAAAGTGAGCGATGATTCGCGGCGGCCAGTAATAACGTTGCCGCCAACACCATGCTCAGAACTATTTCGATTTTGGCTCTGTTAGCCTGCAGTGCAGCCATCATGGCAGAAGCAAAACCTGTCTTCATCAAAGTTTTCGCGCCCAGCGGTGGTAACCTCCTGTCGGTTAGAAAAAATTTGATAATTCAATAATTGTGTTTAACTACAGGCTACTCCAGTCAGAGTTACCAGAGTAACCAGGTGGCGGCCTCGCCCATCAACACCCAGTTGATCTCGAGCCTTATCTCGTCGAAAATTCAGCTGCTAAACAGCGTGCTACAGGCCAAGTCCTCGGCCGGAGGCTTTAGTATTGGCTTCAATAAGTTCGTTACATTCTCCAGCACCACAACGACGACAGAAAAACCCGTGACACACTACACTACCGAGGTAAACACAGACTTTACTCCGGATGATACATCATCTACTAGTACTACTCAACTTGTCTACACGACAACCACAGAAGGCGCTGTCGAAACGCCGAGCCCCACAGTACATCCCGAGTTACCGGCCAGCACGACTTCGGTGATCCCGGCGAAGAGCACCACGTCGGTTCCTGAAGTCACGACCACGACGAAAGCCACTCCTGGCTATATATACGGCACCGCCCAGTCTCGCCCTGGCACTAGTTCGGTGGATCCCCATTACTTGCCCCCCTCTGCCCAAGAATATGTTAAACGTTAAGGAACAGCGTACAAGCTCAGTTTAAATAGCTTTATCTTAGCAATAACCAGATTTGAGTAAACTACAGTAACTTCATGGAGTAGCGACTTTTTTAACCGCTTTTTTACTTGGTCATTCTTTTTTTCGCGGAAGCGATTCTAAGCTAGTCGCACATAGCTTATAATGACAACGACCAGCTTTGTTGTCTACAAAGTGGTTGAGAGCTTATTAGCATAGAAACTGGTTTTCAAAAGAATAAAGTGGTCTACAAACCAAATATTAACTATTTCAGTCTATGCTTATATAGACTCGCAGGCAAATTCTAGCGCGTGCACATTTTTTTTTTTAGATAGCTATAAAAATTGTCTTTTTCAAGGTAACTAATCGTTTGTTTGGGTCTGACGTGACAACATACAGGCCAGATGCATTAATGTCTACAAAAGAAAATTTTGAATTAGTTGAATTTGTAAGCCAACCTCATGATGTATTATAACAATATTGAGCAGCATTAAAATTTAGTCGATCAAGACCTCATGTGCGTCTGTTCGTATTTGAAACAAACTGCCAAATGTGGAGCATATTGCATGAATACCTAACAACATTCAAGTTTTTTTGTTTATTATTTTTTATACAGGTTTTCCTTTTCTCCTATGACAGCTAAATTTTAAAGTTTTACATTTTCATGAACTTTAATTCGACAGTCAGGAGTCGTAAGAAAACTCAATCGGGAATAAATCATGTCTATATACTGTGGCAACAACTACATAACTTGTGGTAAAGTTCTAGCGAGATAGGTTTAGTGCTTACATAGAAACAGACAGACGGATCGACGGGCAGACTTGTAGAGGTACATTATGCAAAGCAGTTGTCAACAATTAAGTGAACATTCAAAATGGCCGAGCTTGTCGACATAAGTGAGAGACATGAGTACCAACATAACGCCACAAAAAAATCGAAATTCGAAAAATCGGTGAAAATTTGTACTATAGTTTTATGTTTTATTTGGCTTAATTTGGGAATTATGAATAACCTTGAAAACTCTTAGCAAATTATTGACAAAGCTTAAAGAAGCGCAAATGGTGGAGTTAACAAGTAAAGTCAATGACAATATAGTTTAAGTTTCCAGTTTAATTAACAAAAATTTCAGGTTTTCGGAAGAATTGTATAGTCGCAATCCAAAAAGGTCGAGCTAAAGGTGGCACGAAAATAAGAATGGTCCCATTCAGAATTGAGTCAGAAGCTATTAAAAAGGGGTTTTCCTTTGATGCGTAGGCAATTGGAAGCCAGTATAGCTAAGATACAAAAGCTAAGGCGCTAAATAAATTTTTTTGCAAGATACATTTTTATTATACCCTTGCAGAGCAAAGGGTATTATAATTTCAGTCAGAAGTTTGCAACGCAGTGAAGGAGACACCTCAGACCCCATAAAGTATATATATTCTTGATCAGCATCACGATCAGAATCCAAATATGTATGTACGTCTGTCCGTCTGTCCGTCTGTCAGTCTGTCCGTCTGTTCGTCTGTCCGTCCGTCCGTCTGTCTGTCTGTCTGTCTGTCCGTCTGTCCTCCTGTCGGTTTCTATGTAAACTAGTCTCTCAGTTTTAAAGTTATCTGGCTGAAACTTTCCCATAAGTTGTGTAGTTGTTGCACGCAGTATATAAGTCATGATACAATTATATGTACAAGGTAGTCCACTCGGCAAAATCCATAGTCCCCTATTTGAGCTTTGACAAGTAAGTGTGAGTGCTTCTGTTTGACAAACAGGGACGCACTGAAAATAAGGGACCAAAGCCGAAAGACTTCGGCAAGCCGAGTGGACTACCTTGTATAATTGTATCATGATATAAGTCGGAACGGGCCGGATCGGGCGACTATATAGGATAGCTCCCATACGAGAGAATGAAATAAAAAATTCTAACTCCGTTGTTTTTGATCAGATCGACTTGATTCCTTTCAGATGGCGTTTTCTAACTGTTTTTGAATTTCGGATTAAATTTTATCAAAATCGGATAACTCCATCATATAGCTGCCATAGGAGAGATCAAAAAAATATATATATAAATAATGGAAAAAAAATTATAATGTCGTTGTTTTTAATGCCTCGAGCATGATTTTTGGAACATCAAGTTTTACAAATACTCTTAAATTGAGAAAAAATTTCATAAAAATCGGAGTACTATATCATATAGCTGCCATTGGAAATATCGAAAAATCTATATAGAAATAACGGAAATAAAATTATTACCTCGTGGTTTTTCATCAGACAATCATGATTTTTGGAATATAGAGTTTTCCAATGAGTCTTGAGTTACAAATTAAATTTCATCAAAATCGGACGACTATATCATATAGCTATCATATGAACAATATGGAAATCGTCATAGATTCGATGCTGTTTAGCCTTTTTGTATTTTCTTAGACATATTTAATGACTGCAAGGGTATATAAGCTTCGGCTTGCCGAAGCTAGCTTCCTTTCTTGTTTAATTTTTCTTTCAAGTTTTTTTTTTGTTTTTATTCGAATTAATTTGACACTTGATATTTGTGGCGCCAATTGTTTTTATGTTACAAAAATTTCAAAAATAAATTTGGATTCAATTAAAGAATACGCAGCTTACGTTTTCCTAACAATTCACCACTCTCATATTGGAATTGAATATGTAAATTGTGGTGAACATTCAGCAAAAAAGTTTTACATCGGATTGTCATAAAAACCAAGGGTGAAAGAATCTTGCTTTAAAATAAACAACAACATTTTTGGAAAGCACCGTTTACATGTTAAAAGCAACGTATTTTGAGGTTGCAGTTAACTAGTTCATTATACTACACTAGAAAATTTTTTTTTCAGAATCCGAAATATTTTAATCGATTGTGAATTGTATTTTTGGTATTAATTTGATTAAAAAGTTTTATGTTAAGCCGTAAAATTTATTTCCATTTGATGTGCTTGACCCCTATGTTAACCTTGATTTAAATAAATATTTCTTTTTGAAACCGAAATATTCAAACCACTTTTAAATAGTTTCATGTCGAATTAAAATATGTACTCCAAGGCGAGGGCTTTTGCTGAAAAGAGCAACGGGAGCAGGAAAGATTTTGCGCCAGTTTGGTTTTTGGTTTGCTGCCAGAGGAGTTGGCAAGTCTGGGATGCGCAAGTCTTTGGCACAGAACTGGACGCTTTCGAATTAATGCCCCCTCGGCAATTGGGCAAGAACCCTATGTTTTTCAGCGCAACTTGCGAAAAGGAAAGTGTGAAAATAGCGCACCAGGCGGCAACCTCACCCATTAGGCGAGCACTTTCGGAGGACTTTGGTAGCAACAGTGAGCGAATTGAGAAGAGACTTGGGCGCTGTCATAGTGGAAAACTGGCAAAGTGCTACGACTACGAACAAGAAAACAACAAACTGCTAAAGTTTTAAGTGCTTTTGAGCATTTTGACAAGTTGCCTTTTTGTTGGTTTGAATGTGACCAATAATTTTCTTAAGGAAACTTATTTTCGCGACATAATCAAAATGTCGTGCGTGATTGCGTAGAGAATGAGAAATCATAGGGGAAGGGCTAGAACTTTCCCTTCCACGCGACTTTCACATTTGTTAGGCGCACAGTTCAGTATCTTCTACTTTTACCGATTTAAATGGAGTACTCAACCCTCCGCAAAGACTATTTCCTTGTACACAAACGGCTTATAAATTTAAAAACAAAATTGGTTGGCAAGGCCACATGCTTTGCCAAGAAGTGCATTCAGCTATCGGCAGCCAAAATCCAAAAACCGAGGAATGGTGTCAATCCACCCGCTAGTAGCTTTAAAATAAAAATGTAAGCACATACGTTTTCGACGACCAGCCAACTGGGTTACCCCACCAAACACCATTTCGCCGACCAGCCATGTCAGCACCAGTTGCTGTTTTTGTGTAAACAGACGTAAAATTTGAGTGAAATGGCTTCCTATGGGAATGGTTACATCTGGAATGAATTTACAAACTCTGACAGTTGCTCGCATTTATTGTCAATCAACGAGTCAGCGTCACTGTCAGGTGGGCACAGCCATGAAACGAGGATGCGGTCTATTCGAGAGCCAAACGGTTCCGGCATTGAACCCCTTATTGAGAAGTGAGCTGACAAGTTGAAGGGTGCGATTAATTTAAGGTATGCCAATTCCTGGGATTTCCTTCTGCTGACGCCTGAAATATGGACATGGTTCAAAAAGTTGGCCATCTGCAAATATGTCAGTCGCTCGTCGGGATATGGTTCCCATGGTACCTGGGAGGTGATTTGCCTTTCTCATAAAGGAAAAACCAAACAAAATGTATAAAAATGTGTATTGTATTCATTCTAAATTGTGTACCAGGTACAAGACTGCATTTACGAACCTAGTATGTTAATGTATACATTATTAAACTGAATCGTCAGACCAGTCGATTTATGTCTTTCTGTACGTCTTGTTACGCCCACTTACCGAAAAATGTTCACCAGTCTCGTGATATTAAAAAGTTTAAGAGTAATTAATAAGATTTTCGATGATTGTTCATACGACAGCTATATAATATAGGTAGTTGTGTGATTTTAATGAGAAAATGAAGAATCATGCTTGTCCGATAAAAACAACGAGGCTTTTGTTTTGTTTTATTGATTTTACATAAATTGTACGATCTTCCCCATGGCAGGCATATTTAACTGTAGTTAAAATACTTAATATTCAAAAAAACATGTTTTCGTGATAAAAAACAACAACGTTTGCATATTTTGAAATCATTTAGTATATACGTTTCGATCTTTTATATGGCATATCCCTCCGATTTTGATAAAACTTAAGTCGAAATTCGACCGTAGTTTAAAAACACAATATTGAAAAAATCAAGTCGATATGACCAAAAACAGCTGTGTGATAATTGTTTTTATTTATGCGATCGTTATTTTTTCCCTTGGGAAGTTTGTGAGAGCTTCGCCCTCAAGTTAATTTGATAGGTAACAGATCGCTCCCATCTTTTGCAAGCATTGCCTGACGGTTTCAGCCTAAGGCCAAGACAAACAGTGGATTGCTAATTCCGAAACACCTTTTTTTTTTAAACGTGCCATTTAGGCAATTAATGCTACTTAGG